TTCTACTTCTGTCTTAGAATTGTCTCGAGGCTACAATTAAATGATATAAGCTCATTTGTTTATTTAAACAAAATATATTTACACTTATTTTCAACAAGTATCTTAACAGTACTTAGAAATTCTTCCAATATCTTCAAGGTGAGCCATTACTTCTGATTCACTTTTGGTCAAATAAGGATGGTGAATGTGTGGAAACACTTAAGTTAGTACCCATGTAGCTGATTCAACTCAAGAATGCATAAAAGCTTATTAATTTTGGATAAATTATGTACGCTATTTTTCACGAACCTAACACTTTAATAAGCTGTTTTAAAAAAACTCATACAATGGTGACCTTTCTTGAATATAGTTCTCTTAAATCCTAAGAGGAAACGGTATTACTCTTTGGCCGTAATACCAGCACACCTTATTTTATTGTGCTTCACTTTATTGTACTTTGCAAATAAAGAGTTTTTTACAAATTGCAAGTTTGTGGTGATCCCCAGTCAAGCAATTCTATTGGTACCATTTTCCAACAGCACGTGCTCACTATGAGACATGGTTTGGCTGTGTCCCCACCCAAATCTCATCTGGAATTGTAGTGCCCACAATTCCCACATGTTGTGGGAGGTGCCCGGTGGGAAGTAATTGAATCATGGGGGCAGGTCTTTCTTGTACTATTCTCATGATAGTGAGTAAGTCTCACAAGATCTGATGGCAAACTTAATAGATAAATGCTGTTGTGTGTGGTCTAACTGCTCCACCAACCAGTATTCCCCCGTTTCTCTCCATCTCCTTGGGCCTCCCTATTCCCTGAGACACAACACTATTAGGCCAATTAATAACCCTATAATACCCTCTAAGTGTTCCCTATAATTAATAACCCTGTAATACCCTCTAGGTGAAAGGAAGAGTCGCAAGTCTCTCACTTTCAGGAGTGTCCGAGGGAGAGAATATAGGCATGGATTCTTAGTTTGTTTCTGGTTGGGTAAGTAAAGCCCCTTCCTTATCCCTCTTTTCTTCTTATTACTAAAGACAGAAACTAAAAGCCATGGCTTCAGGCTGCTAAAAGCCTAAGACAAAACAAAACAGAACAACAACAATAAAATAAAGTGGGTTGGAGAAGCTTGCAACCAAAAGCTAGAAATAATTAAGCTTAGTGAGGAAGGCATGTCAAAAGCTGAGGCAAGCTGAAAGCTAGGCCTCTTGTGCCAAACAGCCAAGGTGGGAATGCAAAGGAAAAGTTATTGAAGGAAATGAGAAGTGCTACTCCAGTGAACAACATGAATGATGTGAAGGTGATATAGTCTTACTGCTCATATGGAGAAAGGTTTAATAGTCTGGATAGAGGATCAAACCAGCCACAACATTCCCTAAAGCCAAAGCCTAATCCAGAGCAAGGCCTCCACTCTTTTCAATTCTATGAAGGTTGAGAAAGGTGAGGAAGCTGCAGGAGAAAAGTCTGACATTACCAGAGGTTGATTCATGAGGTTTAAGGAAAGAAGCCATCTCCATAACATACAAATGTAAGGTGAAGCAGCAAGTGCTAATGTAGAAGCTGCAGCAAGTTATCCAGAAGATCTAGCTAAGATCTTCATTGCTGAAGGTGGCTACACTAGACAACAGATTTTCAATGCAGATGAAACAGCTTTATATCAGCAGAAGATGGCATCCAGGACTTTCATAGTTAGAGAGAAGTCAATGCCTGGCTTCAAAGCTTCAAAAGACAGGTTGATTCTCTTATTAGGGGCTAAATGTAGCTGGTGGCTTAAAGTTGAAGCCAGTGCTCATTTATTATTCTGAAAATCCTAGGACCTTTAAGAACTATCCTAAATCTACTCTGCCTGTGCCCTATAAATGGAACAAAGCCTAGATGACGGCAACATCTGTTCACACCATGGTTTACTAAGTATTTTAAGCTTACTATTGAGAAGTACTGCTCAGAAAAAAGGATTCCTTTCAAAATATTACTGCTCATTGACAATGCACCTGGTCACCCAAGAGATCTGATGGAGACGGACAGATTCATGCCCTCATACCTGCTAACAAAATATCCATTCTGCAGCCCATGGATCAAGGAGTAATTTTGACTTTCAGGTCTTATTTAAGAAATACTTTCTGGCCAGACACAATGGCTCACTCCTGTAATCCTAGCACTTTGGGAAGCTGAAGCAGGTGGATCACTTGGAGACAGGAGTCCAAGACCAGCCTGGCCAACATGGTGAAACCCCATCTCTACTAAAAATACAAAAATTAGCTGGGTGTGGTGGCGTGTGCCCATAGTCCCAGCTACTTGGGATGTTGAAGCACGAGAATCACTTGAACCTGGGAGGCGGAGGTTGCAGCAAGCTATTACGACACTGCCCTGCAGCCTGGGTGACAGAGCGAGATTCTGTCTCAAAAAAAAAAAAAAAAAAAAAAACAACAACAAAAGAAATACTTTCATAAGGCTATAGCTGCCACAGACAGTGGTTCCTCTGATGGACCCGGGCAAAGTAAATGAAAACCTTCTGGAAATGATTCATTATTCTGGATACCATGAACATTCATGATTCATGGGACGAGGTCAAAACACCAACATTATAAGGAGTTTGGAAGAAGCTGATTTAAACCCTCATGGATGACTTTGAGGGGTTCAAGATTTAAGGGGAGGAAGTCACTGCAGATGTGGTAGAAATGGCAAAAAAAGTAGAATTAGAAGTGGAACCTGAAGGTGTGACTGAATTGTTGCAATCTCATGATAAAACTTCAACAGATGAGGAGCTGCTTTTTATGAATGAACAAAGAAAGTGGTTTCCTGAGATGGAATCTACTTCCGGTGAGGATACAATATTGTGACACTGGTGAAGTGACAATAAAGGATTCAGAATATTCAAAAAATGTAGTTGATAAAGCAGCAGCAGGGTTTGAGAGGACTGACTCCAATTTTAACTTTTTTTTTTGAGACAGAGTCTCATTCTGTCACCTGGGGTTGGAGTGCAGTGGCATGATCTTACCTCACTGCACCCTCTGACTCCCAGGTTCAAGGATACTTTTGCCTCAGCCTCCCAAGTAGCTGGGATTACAGGTGTGTGCTGCCACTCCTGGCCAATTTTTGTATTTTTAGTAGAGATGGGGTTTCATGATGATAGCCAGGCTGGTCTTCAACTCCTGACCTCAAGTGATCCACCCACCTCAGCCTCCCAAAGTACTGGGATTACAGGCATGAGCCACTGTGTCCTGCCTAGGATTGACTCCAATTTTGAAAGAAGTTCTATGGGTAAAAATGCCACCAAATAGCATCATGTGCTACAGAGAAAACTTTTGTGAATGAAGAGTCAACGGATGTGGCAAACTTCATTGTTGTCGTATTTTAAGAAATTGCCACGGCCACCCCAACCTTCAGCAACCACCACCCTGATTAGTCATCAACACCCTGATACATCAACATCGAGGCAAGACCCTCCACCAGCAAAAAGATGATGACTTGCTGATGGTTCAGATAACTGTTAGCATTTTTTAGCAATAAAGTATTTTTCACTTAAGGTACTTTTTTTTTTTTTTAGGCATAATACTATTACACACTTAACAGACTACAGTACAGTGTAAACAAAACTTTCATATGCACTGGATAATCAAAAAATTCATATGACTTGATTTAATGCAGTATTTGCTTTACTGCAGTGCTATGGAACTGAACACCCAACGGCTCTAAAGTATGCTTATAAAATCTCCCTCAAATATTTCAGAAGTAAAGGATACATTTGGCTTTCTTTTGGGAGTTAATGTTATTTGCTCAAATCTGTCACTATTATTATAGCAACAATGTATAATTTTAACCTTAATTTTAACCTTAAAGATGCTAACGTCTTCATGAATTTTTTAATAACTTTTCTGAAAATGTTATATATTATGGATTAGACTAATATAACACACATTTACTTTTCAAATACCAAAATATTAGATTTATACACATAATACACATTTACTTTCAAACACCCAAATCCAACCATTGTAAGTTTAGGTCTATACTTAAGCTCTTGAATGGGATTAGATCAACAGAAGCATGAAGATGAAAGGAAAAATAATCATTACCAACGATAATTTTAAAAACCTGTTTACTTGTTAAGGATAACTTTGAAAAGATACATGCAATAAAATTGCTTTCCAAGTGTATATAAAGTAAAGAATTAAAGCTGCAGTAAAAATTAGAACAAAATTGACGCAGCTTTTCCTTTCCTGATTTCTGTAGAAAAGAATGAAATTCCAGTAGAAAGCAGAATCTTTAGTTCACATTTTCCTCCTAATAATACAACTGTTATATAAAATAAGCATTTAAAAATAATTTTTTATTTTTAATTTCAATAAGAAAGCAAAATCTAATAAAATAGCATTTCATATGGTAAAATTATAGTTTTCCTAAATAAAACAATCCTAATATACTTAAAAACACTCAGAAAATATGCAGTCATAGATAAGAGTTATATAAAAAGGCCAAAAAAGTCTAAGCAATACATTGGTTTTATTAAATCTAAAATAAAAAATAAATAATCTAAAATAAAAAATAAATCCTGATAGAACTCATCAAATTTGTTTTAATAAACAAAAATCTAAAAAAGTGACAGCAAGAGCTTTGATATCTAAATATTTAAGAAAGTGAACATGACTATTATATGAAAGAGAAAAATGAAAATACTTTTAGGTTTACATATTATTCCTCCAAGATACAAAATGTTTTAAATGGCTGTCACCATTCAAATGCTGTAAGACGTGGAGTATGAACTTTTCCATATAATTAGATAAAAATAAAACAGACATATGATTCCAAAAAAGGAGTATTCTGTAATATACAATTTCATAAGGTCCAAGTAAGCTTAATTATGAATACATATTCATGAGATTTACTTCTCTGTTCTTTACAAGTTGAAATAGAAATATTTTTACAAATATATTTTCCTATTATTTTTCTTTTAGTATTCACATAAAATATTGTAGAGCAAAACACCAAAGGTTAATGTTGCACAAACTAATACAACTAATACCTGTATTGTGTTCTTCCTACGATTGACTTTCCTTCTCTCCATTGAGCAGTCACATCGCTGGGATCAAGTAAGCCTTCAAAAATGTGCTCCCAGAGATACAAGCCTGGTAATTAACAACAAAAACAAAATCAAAACAATTTACTGTCTCATCTACTCTGGTGCATGAGACAAGTTCACGTTCTATTCTTTTACTCATTTGACTGTAAAACCAGAATGCCTCCCCTTAGGGCCGCTGGCAGGCAGTGCTACCAAGCAACAGCTCCAAATCAACATGGCAGTTAATGAGAGACAGAGCTCAGAAGCTGTCAGTGTGTAAAATGTGGCAAAATGTGAGTTAATATTAAAGACCTCTCCTACTCTAGATTTGAGAAACCCCTAATTTATATAGATCTTTACACCTGTCTTATTCTGAAATGAAAGGTATTATATTACAAAGTAAACTATACTATGTGGTTAGAACTATTTTTATAACAAATTAGGGGGAGTTGCCATTTTGTGCCAAATGGAGCCAGAGGAGCTCATGTATCTACATATATTAATACATTCAATATGTCAAGGGGACATTACCTCCTCCTCACTTGAACACATATCCCTGAATGCATGATCCCCTTCACAGACAAATGCCACTGCATCTTTTCTCCTTATGGCAGCCCCTGATGTTTTATCATGATTTCACCTGAATGAAAGCTCTGAGAGTAGAGAAGAGTGGTGTTACTCAATGAGGTACTATGGAGACCATACACCACTTCTGGGCACCCTGTTTTGGTTACACTCAAAGAGGTTTTTGTTTCATTCTCATTGTACCCTGGTACTAAAAGAAACCCAAGCCACCATGTTTAAAATGTGGACAATTAGATAAAGCTTTCCAAATGTGATGGGTTGAATAATGTCTCCCTGCCCCACCAGCAAAGATGTCCATATTCTAATCTCTAGAATCTAGGAATATGTTACCTTACATGGCAAAAGACACTTTAAAAATACAACTGAGTTAAGGATGCTGAGGTGAAGAGATTATTATAGATTATCTAGGTGGGCCCTATGTAATCTCAAGAGTCCTCACACAAGGGAGGCAGGAGGGTCAGAGTGAGGCAAGGGATATATAAAGATGGAAGCAGAGGTCAGAGTGATGTGGGGCCATAAATGAAGGAATGCGGGTAGCCCCTAGAAACTCTCAAAGGTAAGGAAACAGGTTCTCCTCTAGAGCCTCCAAAAGTAACACAGCCCTCACACATTTTAGAGTTCTGCCTTCAGAAAAGTAAGATACTAAATTTGTGGTAATTTGTTACGGTTGCAATAGGATGCTATGGATTATACAGTTAAGATTATGGTACCTGGAAATGGGGTGCTACTGTAACAAATACCTAAAAATGTGGAAGTGGCTCTGAAATTGGGTAATGGGTAAAGGCTGAGAGAATTGTGAGGACATGATTTTAAAAAGCCTAGATTAGATTGCCCTGAATAACCTGCAGACAGGAATATGGATGTTAATGACTCAGCTAGTGAAGACTCAAAGTGAGGCAGAGTAGAGAAAACCTGTATTGTCTTAGAGGATATCTAAATCATCATAAGCAGATTGTTGGTAAGAATATGCAATTTTTAAAAAATTTTTATTTATTTATTTATTTAGAGACAGAGTCTCACTCTGTAGCCCAGGCTGGAATAAGGTGGCATGATCTTGGCTCACCGCAACCTCCACCTCCCGGGTTCAAGCAATTCTCCTGCCTCAGCCTCCTGAGTAGCTGGGATTACAGGCATGTGCCACAATGTCTGGCTAATTTTTGTATTTTTGGTAGAGATGGGGTTTCACCATGATGGCCAGGCTGGTCTTGAACTCCTGGCCTCAAGTGATCCACCTGCCTCAGCCTCCCAAAGCGCTCGATTACAGGCATGAGACATCACTCCTAGAATATGTATATTAAATAAACTGTTGGTGAGAGCTCAGAATAAAATTAGGAATGTGTTATTAGAAACTGGAAGGATGAGGATCCTTGTTACATAACAGTAAAAAGCTTAGTTGGATTGTATCCTGCAGTTACGTGGAAAGCAGAACTTGTGATAAACTTCAATAATTAGCTGGAGGGTTCCAAGCAAAGTGAAAGGTGTGGACTGGTTTCTTCTTGGTGATTAATGAAATATAAGAAGAAAGAGATAGAAGGAAAAACTGTTAAGCAAAAGGGAACCAGAATTTGATGATTTGGGAAATTCTCAGACCATTAAGATTGCAAAAGAGGTGAAAAATTAGATTTACTGTCTGCAAAGGGTGTTCCAGAAAGACCAAGGATGTGGCTGCACAACCTTTTGCTAGTGTCTCAGAAGGAACAGAAGATCTGAATATTCATTCACACAAAGGGCTCTTTGAAGAGATTACACATGTGACTTACAGGTCTCCTCAGCTATCTCAGCAGAAGCCAGAAATGGAGATGGGATTACTCAGAAAAGATCTGCAGAGGAGCTTCCCATCTAATGGAGTGAATCCTGTGACATACACAGGAGGCCCACAAGGTTCTTCAGAATGTTATATGAGCAGAAACACTGCCAGCTTGGACTAAAAAAGACAGAAAGAGGTCACAATGAAAGAAGGCTGATGGGCTCTGAAAATTTTACCAGCTGTCAACAGGCTGATAAAGTTACTAAGCTGCAAACTTGTGTTACTTTTTATGAAAAAGGAAAAGATGACTTCAAGAGTATGGCTGAAATGCCAGAGGGCAAAGCTGTACAAGTCATAGATTATTCCTAGGCCTGCAATATAATCAAATGGAGCTGACCATTCAGATGAAATTTAGATTTCAAAATTGCTTGGACCAGTGACACTTTTTCACTTCAATTTTTTTCCCTTTTTGAATGGGAATGTCTATAACGGTATTTCATAACTGTGCCTAGAGAATAGGCTGATGAAAGTAGCATTTTTCCTGCCAGCAGAGGTGATAACAAAAAAAAAAAAAAGGTAGCATTTGATGAAATTCACTTGGCCACTTTGCGCTTATCAGATTGAAAAGAGAGAAGTCTGGAAATGAAAATCTGGGATTTAAAAGAAGAAATCAGTATTAGGGACTTTATTTAAAAAATAATGGTCAGAACTTGATGACTGAAGACCTGGTTTCAGGTACTTGGAATTTAGAGACTGGTAGTATCTTCCAGGATGTATACTTGTATGTAAGTATGAACGAATTTATGAAATACCGTGAGCAGAGGACTATCCTCTGTACATTTTCCTTTCATCTGGTACTTTCTATCCATATCCTTTATTGTACATAAACCCAGCTCATGTTCAAAGGCCAAATAAAGTGCGAAGTCACTAAACTCTTTGTGACTGTTTGAACCCTCACAGCCCCATTCTCTAATTGAGCATAATATATATCTTAGAACACTACACTCTCATGATATTCACAGCAAAAACGCCTCTGTGTGCAATCAAGTTTAATCAACTACATACTATAATATATTCCTTTGCTGATACAATGAACACTGTCATATTAAAGGCTCTTGAGAAAGGCCTGCAATGAAGAACCTTAACTTTGTACTCTTCAGTGTTTCCCAAATGTGTTTGGCCCTCAAGGCCAGGGGCCACATCTTATATTTGTGTATCAAGTGTCCAAAAAATACACAGATTCATGAAAATTCAGTTGACATATGTTTTGCAATCTAATGACACTATACAGCCTACTCAATGTATCGATAAATGAAGCTGTGCTCTGCTAAAGACCAACAGTGGAACACGTATGTGTGTACATTTACAAACAGATGTTGTCTAATTGGAAGGAGAAAGGAATTACTGACAAAAAGTGAAAAAATATATCATGATGCCTTAATTAACAAGTTATGAAATAAATTATATTAAAATGAATTTCATACCAATAAAGTACATTTTACAATGCTTTTTACGTGTCTTCCTTCTACATATTAACTTACCAATGGCAGCTTTGCCCCAGATTTGTACACTGAGGTCTGTTTTTCCTTTCGTGGATTTATTTAATACTTGAAGGCTAGTTTTAAATCTGTATTGTTGCTCATTTTTTTCATCTCCTTCCCAAGGATTCCATTCTTCACTTTCCAAAGTGAACTGTTCTGTTTTAAAAAGAGTAACGGTGTTTACCAGTTAGGTGTTATTGCAGCTGTAGGTAAATTCAAATCATTTAAATTGTTAGTTCTAATTTCATCCTAACTTTAATTTTTGAGAGATAGAGCAACTGAATTTAAACTGGTTATACACAATGATAACAAAAAAGAAACTATCGGCAATTTTTTTAACTGAACTTTTTTTACTCTGAAAGGTCTTAGAAATAAAATGCTAACTTGAAACAGGAAAATTCTCTTCCCCAAAACAAAACCTTTAAAAATAACAGGATAATATGTATCAAGTTACAGGTTTAACTTCTGCAATTCTTTTTATCTATTGTATACAGGTAACCTATGCACAAAAAACTGACTTCAGAGTGTAGTGTTCACCAGGCTTAGATACTATCGTGCAAAATTCTGAATAAAGGGAGAGAGAAAGCTGAGTCTGATCTTAACACAAATTAAAACACCGGACAGGGGACCAGAATTTGGAGGTAAAGCCTGCCTTACGGTCACTGCAGGATTAGAGGGCTTTGTTTCAACATGGAAACGGATGTCTTAAACCTTGCGGCGATTTTGAGGCCTTCCAGGAGCACTCCCGCAAATCTCTGGCATTTGAGACGACGTCTTGCATTTTAACACGTGTTTGAAAGGCGTTCGCGCCTGTCACCCCCTGGGATGGGGAGCGGGGACAGCGTGTGAGATCTGGGTAAGAATTAACGGCCAGTCTCCAATCCCGAGCCAAGGGCTAGCTCGAGGGGCTGTAGGAGGCAAAGCGCGTCTCAGGCCCCGCGGGTAACCCCGGACTTGAGAGCGGGGTGCGGGAGCCCGGCCCCTGCCGCTCAGCAGCCCCTAGCCAGGCGCGCAGAGGCGGAGGGAAGCTGCAGCCCCAGTCCTACCTCGGCCGCGTCTCTCCCGCGCGGGGGCCACCGCCCCCTTCCTGAGGCCCCGCGGGGACCCCGCCGGCGCCTGGCGGCGGCGCCCGAAGAAGACGTGGTAGGCAGCGTAGAGGGAGAATAGGCAGTACAGGGCGATGAGAAATGAGCAGAGCCGCTTCCGCGTCAGCCGCATCCCACTCGGGCTTCCAGTCAGGCAGCCACCGCCATGCAGCGGGCGGAAACAGAAGCCGGGGCCCGAGCGGCGTCCAGCGCAGGCCCAGGCACTTTCCAGGCCGTCCCCATCAAAGGCTCTTCCGCCCAGCGCCCGGTACAGCCCCGCCCCGGGCACGCCCACCTCCCGCCTCCCGCACAGGCCCCGCCCCCTCCAGTCCCGCCTCATCCGCCGGGCCCAGGGCCTGCCTGGCCACCGCCGACCCCGGAATAGGGGGTCCAGGAGCGGCCACTACCCCAAGTGCTTCCAGACGCCGGGCTGGGTGGGAGCCTCTCTGACCTCTGCCGTGTACCCATTACACCTTTCAACCCTGCCACTTCTCCCAAGTACATAAAGACTCGGGGGAAAAAGAGCACCTGCGGTGGTCCATGAAGGCCATGTGAAGGCATGGACCGTGATGTTTTTTGCTCTACATGGAATCCCTAGCGCCTGGGATAGTGCCTACTACATTGATGGATGAGTGGATATAAACGTCCTTTAAAAAAATTGATGATGGTCGCTCAACATTGTGAATGCAATTAATACCACTCACTTGTATGCATAGAAATAGTTAAAATGTCGAATTCGTGTTTTATATACCTTACTGCAATAAAAATATTTTTAAAGTTCAATTTTATTATTATGATGTGAGTTGAACGCACATAGGCATATAGTATTTTGTCAAATAGAGGCTGTAAATGTGAATGCTTCAATAAACCTTTTGTCCAGCCTTGGTAATATGGGCTACAATGTTCTGTCGGTTGCATCTGGTACTACTGCTCAAATTATCCCGCAGTCTTGCGACGGTGTGTCCGCTAATTAGGGTGACCAGCGGTCCCAGTTTGCCCAGGACTGTAAAGATTCTCCAGTTGGAGGATTTTTAGTGCTAAAATTGGGAAAGTCCTAGGAAATCAGTAAAAGTTGGTCACTCTAGCATCGACTCTAAACAATTAGGTCAAACACTTTACCCAATCCCCCAAACAGTTCCCTGCCTCCAAAGACCTGTTTTAAACCATTTTTGCTCGGACTCCCTAAGTCCTATAAATATCACCCCAAACCTTCTCCTTCTGAGACTGCCAAGCTTCTGTCAAAGTGTGGCCTTCCTTACTGTAGTAGATTTAGAAAATTTAGCTTTCCTTGATTAACAGGCTATTCTGGTGTCTTAGAGAGATGGCAGTTGTTTTATGTACGCTGTGTTGTTGGTTATCCTATTTTGTTGTGGAAATGACAATTATTTAAGGATAGGAAGTAATTACCTTATAATTACTAAAAAACACCCACTGTATCCATGTACATGCAGATGCTACTGACTAATAGTTTTACTATTGAGAAATGCATACAAGGTAAAACTAGTATGCGGCTGATGTCATCTTGAATAGGGGAGAGGGCCATGAAAATGAAGGTGTTGTTTTACCTCAAACTGCAAATGACTGCATAATTTGATTATAAACTTTTAAAAATGTATTTAGGTTACAAAGGAATCTTCTAATTGATCTAAGTCTGGCAGAGTTCATTTTCCTTTCTCTTGGTGTTTAATGATTGAGCTACAGCTGGGAGCTACTTTCTGTATATGCTCTCATCTCTTCAGGTGAATGGAAAGAGAGGGAAAGAGACGTGGTGGGGAATGCAGCAGTGTGGAGGGGGAGACAAGGTTAAATATCCTCTTGGGGTTGAAGCTCCACATAGAGGGAACCAGACCTGAGAAGGAAAGATGTGGGAGGAAGGATAGAAATAAAGGAATATGAGATGAATTAAACTAAAGCAGGGCTAAAATCTTTACTTGGTGATATTTTCTACTCTGTCTGCAAAGGGAAGAACTATTAATCAACACGATATTGAGAAAATAGCCATAATAATACACGCTTATTCTTAGAAGTCTCCAATCCAAATTTCTTGTGATACCTGGTCAGAATTCTCTTCTTAGTTTATCAAGTCTCCAGTAATACTCAAGAAGTGTGTTAACTACTTTGAGAGATTTTTCACAGCTTGGCCAAGCTTCTGTGTCAAACACTTTGTAAGATATTTCTAGCAGGGCTTGACCATGTAAGTTATAAACTAGCTATCTCAAATTTGTAAGAATCAGTCCTAAGAAGATACATTTTTCTTTTTCATGTGAGTGCAGTGCTCAAAAAATAAGCAATAAAACTCTACAGAAATATATTGGCATTGGGAAATAGTAAGCAAATTATAATGCCTTCTTTAAACAATCAATTAAACAAAATACTGATAACCAACCAAACAAAACTAGGGTGAAGGTTAAAGACAGAACAACCCTGAGGTGAAATTGAAGCAGATGAGCAGAAACAGAGTCTGTGCAAACATCACTTCTTCTGTAAATCTTTCCCTCACCTATTTCCGTTTCCCCACACCCTCTGAACCCTATGCACAGTTTCATCATTGGTGTAAAATTTCATCACCAGTTTCGTTTATGCATTCCATGTGATCCACCAGCCTTAACTAGTGTGATAGTTGTCTATGGACTCTGCTCTACTAAAAGCCCTTATGAGTGGGTACCACCATGTTGATAGCCTCAGAGAGTGATTCAAGACAGTTTGAACCCATGTGACTCCATCTCTCATTTACCACTGACTTCATTTGCATATGCTGTTTTTCTAATGATATTATCATCAACTTGGGGTAGGAGGCTACTGAAAGGCCCCAGGAGTGATATAAATGTGTTTCAACCTCTTAAAAATTAAAAAAAAAAATTGTGAGTATATATTTATGGGTTACATGAGATTATTTTGACACAGGCATGCAATGTGTTATGATCACATCAGAGTAAATAGAGCATACATCCACTGAAACATTCATCCTTTGTATTACAAACAATGCAATTATACTCTTTTAGTTATTTTAAAATGTACAATTAAATTTTTTTCACTGTAGTCACCCTGTTGTGCTAGCAAAAACTAGGTCTTATTCATTCTTTCCTACTATTTTTTGTATGCATTAACCATCACCACTCCCCTGCCCTACCTGCCCACACTACTTTTCACAGCCTCTGGTAGCCATCCTTCTACTTTCTATCTCCATGAGTTCAATTGTTTTGTTTATTTATTATTTTAAAGTAGAGACAGGCTCTCATTATGTTGCCCAGGCGGGTCTCAAGATGCTGAGCTCAACTGATCAGCTTGCCTTGGCCTTTCAAAGTGCTGGGATTACAGGCGTGAGCCAATGTGCCTGGCCTCAGTTGCTTTAATTTGCAGCTCCCACAAATAAGTGAGAGCATGCAAAGTTGGTCTTTCTGTACTTGGCTTACTTTACTTAACATAATGACCTTCATTTTCATCCATGTTGTTGCAAAATGCAAGTTCTTATTCTTTTTTAGGGCGGAATAGCACTCTGTGGTGCATATGTACCACATTTTCTTTATCCATTCATCTGTTGATGAACATTTAGGTTGCTTCCAAATCTTGGCTATTGTGAATAGTGTTGCAATAAACATGGGAGTGCAGATAGCTCTTCAATATTTTCCTTTCTTTTGAGTATATACCTAGGAGTGGGATTGCTGACTATCATGGTAGCTCTATTTTTAATTTTTTGAGGAACCTCCGAACTGTTCTCCATAGTGGTTGTACTAATTTACATTTCCACCAACAGTGTACAAGGGTTCCCTTTTCTCCACATCTTCTCCAGCATTTGTTATTGCCCTTTCAACCTCTTTCAGTCTCATTTAGTGAAGTCTTTCTGTGCTTTTTGCTCACTTCATTTTTTATGGCTGCAAGAATGTAAATATTTGATGTATTCTGTCTCCTAATTTTGACTTTTCATCACAAGGCTTTGATGGCTTACACATATTCCTGTGAATCCATCAACTTCATGCATTCATATTTCTATTAACTCACACAGATAGATTTATTCTTTTCCAACAGAATAGACACATCTGATTAATAATGCACCTTCAATAATCTGAGATTTATCTTTATAAACTCTGCTATGTTTATCTTATATCAGGATTATTGCTAGCTGTCTCAAATGGGTTGGATAGCATTTCAGTCCTTAAACAGTTTATATAGCATGGAAAATACTAAGTCTGTGAAAGTCTGCCTGCACTTTTCAGTAATATTCATTGGCCCTAGAACTATTTTTGGAGATAGTTCTTTAATAACACTCGTTTGGTTTATTCTTACTTGTAATATTAATACTTCTTAAGTCTGTTTCGGCAATTTTTATTTTCTAAGAAACCAATTTACCTCATTAGGATTAAAAAGTATTCAGATATATCCCTTCTTTCATTTCTAATTTTATTCTTTTGAGCTTTTCTTTTTTGTATTGAAATTTTCAGATTTCATAACTGATTTTATGATTTTATTATTGGTTTTCCCCTCTCCTTCCAACTATCTTTGGATTTATCAATTTTGTTTGTCTATGTGGCAATTACTAGATTGTGCATTATTTTTTCATTATTTTGTTTTTTCTGCTTTCCTGTTGGAAACTTTCTTAATTGGACAGTTGGTTCAACATTTTATCATTTCTTCTTAATAATGAAATCATAGAAGCTGATTAATTTACCTCTGCATCCTGAAAGTGCAGTATTTTTACTCTTTGCTATTTAGATTTTTTTATGTGATCCAGTAGAGATTATAGGAGAGTATGTGACATTTAATGACCAAGTAGTAAACATTTTGTTAGGTCAGCCTTTAAAATTTTTACCAATATGATGGCTGCAATGGACTTTTATTGTTGTAATTTTCATTTCCCTGGTTAATAATGAGGTTGAGTATCTTTTAATATATATATATTTTTGTTTTTATCCTCTGTTTTTATGTTTTGTATAGTTTTTTATTTGTTGCTTATCTTTTACTATTGATTGCAGAATTTCTATTTACTTTATACAGCAATCATTTGTTTATGTATATTAACTATTTTCTTCCAATTTTTGGCTAGTCTATTTTATTTGTATATATATTTTTATTTTTTCTTATTTTAATTTTTTCTTTTTTTGGACAGAGTCTCGTTCTGTCATCCTGGCGGGAGTGTAGTGGTGCAATCTCAGTTCACTGCAACCTGTACCTCCTGGGTTTAAGCGATTCTCATGCCTCAGCCTCCCAAGTAGCTGGGATTACACGTGTGTGCCACCATACCAGGCTAATTTTTGTATTTTTAGCAGAGACGGGGTTTTACCATGTTG